ACTAGCCAGCCAACTGCTGGACTGCTGCTTGGCATGATTACAAATCTCCCCTGCTGACAGCTCATGTTCCAAGCTCCTGGCTGGGCCTTGCCATTTGCCCTGCATCTTTTTGGGCAGGTAGGCAGGTGGAAAGGCACAACTGGGGATAGCTGAGCAATGAGGGCTGCTGTGATCACAGCTGGTGCCAACAGCTTGGCACATAACCCACCCATCCCCCTTCTTTCGTAGTGCATACTGCAACCACAGGTTGCAGCAGTTACACAAAATATAGATAGACAGATTCTAGAACAGTTTCCTCATTCAGTTCTTAGAGCTTTTTTTTTTCATTTAAAATTGAATTACACCTGTGCTAAAGAGAAAATAAGATACTTGCATTAACCATTCTCCTCAAGGGCAATTGTATACATTTGCATAGGACCAATTTTAAGGTACCTTAAAATACTTCTGAATGTGGAAAAATGGAATAGTGAAGAATAAAGAGAAAATTGTTATTATAAAAAACAGTTAACTATCTTATTTGTGGCATTTCTCAGTAATGCAAAAGGCTGTGTCTTTTGCACACACACATTCACTATTTTCTTTTCTTACTAGCTGGGAACATTTACCCAAGGTAAATAAACCATTTTTAAATTCAAATGATAAACAGAGAAGCCCTAGCATGCACAAAATAAACAGATTTTGCTCTTTTGCTCTTTCACAAGCAAAGTTTCACCCCAATTTTTCTTTTTCTAACCTCATCTGAATTCCCAGTTGAGGGAGCCAGTGACCTAATTCTGCTCAGTTCTAATGCAATACAAGAGTAAATTCAGAATATCTATGTGTTGGTCTTGCTGGGATTGCAGAATTCCAAATTCATCCTCTTGGCCCATAGGTAATCCTGTGATCAGCTCTAATACTATTTGCAAGCCCTTCTATCACCTATAGGAGAAGCTTCTTTGGCGCCTGTCAAGTACTGACCTAAAAAGTTTAATCCGGTCTACATTTTTAATGTCTAAATGGGTACAATATTATCTATTTTGGCCTCCGTGACAATAAAACTGGCCTGCTGTAAGGCTTAAGAGTTTTGTTTTTCTCGCTATCCCATCCCCCCTCCTCTTGATGCCTTGAGATATAGCAAATATTCACATGGGACTTGACGTCTTCCCTACATTATCACAAATTTTTAATTCTTCTCAAAACAGGTGCCCACTTTATTCTTCCAAATTATGAAACATGGAAGCACCAAACTAGGAATATATTAATGTTCTGAAATTAACATTTTTCGATGATGAAAAGAAAACGCACACATAAAACCCTAACCAATTTTTCATCCTCCACCCCCCCATACACACAGTAAAGCTAACGATTTTTTACCTATGTCTGTGACATCCATTTGTTTTTAATAATGTCTTAGTTTTATAAAACCATATATTCAAGGTCTTTATCATTCAGGGTACATGAAGGTTGTGCATTTAATCTTTAGCATGGTTGTAGAAGCTGTGATTTACAGAATAGGGAATAGATAAAAATAAGCATGCAGCAACATGGTGTCGAATCATCAGAACTCACCATCTTATCAACAAATAGAAGTCATTCTTCTTTATTTCTTGAGAAAAGAAGTTTCATATAAGACAAATAGCCTTCAGTCAGAATAGCCTAACATGCAATATGCATCTTTTTGACATGTATATTCTAATACTGCTTTAGACTATAAGATTAAAACAAGAAAAATTTCAGGGTTGTATGTTGACAACAGACACTGGTTGAATCTGCATTTTTTCCATTTTTCATTTTCCAGAATTTGACTAAGTGTAGAAATGTTTATATGTTACTGGAGATTACTGAATGTTCAACTTCCAGTGACCTTCAAATGCTGCTTTCTAAAGTATTAAAAATGAAAATTACTGGAAGATTTGTACTTTTTAAAATCAAACATTGAAAGAGTGCCCTATCATGTTTTGGAGATAAAGTCTTTTGTTTGTAGAGAGCCAGGTATAGTAGATGTGTTTCTAAAAGATTTGAAAATGAGATCAAGGTATGTAACCTTGACAAGGTCACTTACTTTTAATTCTAATTTTTCTGTTGTGCAATGAAAAAACTTAGGGCAGATGTTTCTGGTTTTGTTTTAATTACACCTAGCCTCTAATATATCATTTATAATGCCCAATTTTTTTGTTAACACATATGTTGAGTGATGAAAGATATGAAATGAAGAAATTAAGTGGTCATCTCAGATGACCCAAGACGACTAGACTGATGTTACTATTATGAGTTACTGCTAAACTTTTTTTTTTATCTCTCGGAGAGTCAGGCAAGCTACCAAGAGTATTTCGCCCACACGGCGAAGCCTGGCAAGCTACCAGTGATGTATCCAATATGCCAAACACAGTAACAACTAGTCTCACGATGAAGACGTTATTGGGCCCGCTGGAGCAAATCGATGAACAATGGGAGAACAGTGACAGTGACAGTGTTTTATCTATAAGACCTGTCTACTGAGGCTATCTCTGGTCCTTCTCATCATAAATTCTGTTATAGTGCAGACATAGTAGACCTACATCTCGTAGGGGTCATGATTTACAAGGCTTTTAGTCCTCCTTTTTGTTGTTGTTGTTTAAACATATATTTTATTGATTGATTTTTTTTTTTTTGGTTTTTGAGTCACACCTGGCGATGCACAGGGGTTACTCCTGTCTCTGCGCTCAGGAATTATTCTTGGTGGTGCTCAGGGAACCATATGGGATGTTGGGGATCGAACCCGGGTCAGCCACATGCAAGGCAAACACCCTACCCGCTGTGCTATCACTATGGCCCCCTTTTAGTCCTCCTTAAGTTTTAATTTCTACACTCTGAGCTGGTAAAATGGACTTATAGCCCCCTAGATAATTGATAAAGTAGTAGAAAACTTCAATATCTGAATATGGATTGTTCTTTCCATCTGTGCCAGTTTGCATGTGTAGAATAATGAACTTTTCTAGCATACTTTCATAAAAACTATCACTTGCCTACTTAACTATCAGTTAGACCCCTTTGAAATTTATTGCTGGAAATATTTCCTCATATGTAACATGAGCTACATTTTTACCTACCCAGAAGTTTTATAGATGAAAAGTAATTATTTACGAGTGTTCCCCCCCTTCAAAAATCCAAAACAAAACTGAGCTCTCTGCTCATATTTCAGCATCAGATGATTTGGGAGAGTATTGGCAATAATACCGAGCATTATCAATTATAAGAACTCTAATCCTTAATCTGACATTGCTCATGAGGGACTGTGTTTTGAAGTGACAAGCTGTGAATGCAATGGTCTCATTAAATGGAAAGATACTGTTATATCAATTTACACTGATCCATTTTCTTTTGGCTTGTACTATTGAGTAAATTGACTATTTTGGCCTTTGCCTGCTTTTCTCACACCACCCCCCTCGCTTTTGGCATCTCCCCCTCTCCATAACTTCAAAGAATGTATAGAAACACCCGGGTCTGAAGAGGAAATCAATTCTGCAGGTTTCAGAGTAGTATTGTACATGAAAACTCTTTGAAACTGATGAAGGTCTATGTAAATGCAAGAGAATGAGAATAAAGTGAGGTACAGTTTCCCAAATAGAAACTCCTATGAGACAAATGATATGTCTATAATTAACACAGGCTGTGTGAAAATGCCAAGTTGGTGGGAACTGTCAATGAAGTTATAGGAAGTCCCTTGAAAGGAATGTTAAGAGAGGGGGATTCCTAAACCTGAGTGGTCTCCTTGCTCTCCGTGTAGACTGCTATTTGCAATGTTAGAAGTTATGGCATTGCATCACAAACACTGTCCTTAGCTTTCTAATTTTCTGGAACTTGAGCTAGGACAAATTACTCATTTTCTCAATTTCTCACTACAACAATGGAGACTTCAATATTAAAGAATATAATGAATGTAAAGATCTTGATTCAAAGTTCTGCTCATAAAAATATTAAAATAAAGGAGTTAATTGAGCCAGAGTGATAATACAGAGGGCAAAGTGTTTGTCTTGCACACAGCTGACCTGGGTTCAAACCCTGGCACCCTGTAAGGTGCTCTGAACTCTTCCAGAAGTGATCTCTGAGCAGAGAGCCAGGATTAATCCCTGAGTGAGCATCATTTTATGTGACTCAATAACAAAAAATGGTGTTAATAATCATATTAATATTAATTTTAGAAAAGAAGGTTTGTTATTAGATGCTCTGAGTATCTTCTACATCTCTGAAATCACGTACCTTCCTTTTCTCCACCACCCCTAACCCTATAACAAACTGAAATACTCCTTGAAGAGCTCGGTATACCTTAAACTTAGGGTTTTAGGAGCCTGACCAGATTTACTAAGAAGAGTTTTCAGGTTGAGCAATTCTAAAAACAAAAGTTATCTTATTTTTGAAGACACAGTTGGTTGAGCCAGTATTCTGCCAAAAGTAAATCTGCCTGTATTGCTCTATCTTCAGTTTATACTTACAAATAAAGAGAACCATCTCAGATAATGAAAGTGAATGTTGAATATTTTTGCAAGCTATTATAACATTTTGGAAGAATACTATAAACATGTACAAGATGTGCCTAGATGGTAATGAAATGAATTTTTTGTGTGTGATGTGAAGGCTCATTAGCTGAGAGCCATGCTCTGTGCTACTCTACGGAAGTCACATATGACATTTCTCACTAATGGCTCATGCTGTCACTAAATATTTGTCTCTAACTCCCTCAGTCTTTGGGAATGCAGACATCCACTTGCACGTAAATTAATAGCTCTGCAGAATATAAATGAGGTCCCCAGAAAAGTCCTTTCATTTTCTGAGTACAATAAAGAACAAGAGTCCTTTTCCTAATTAAAGACTGGATCAGAGTGGTTTTTTCCAAACCTATAAGAAAATACTTATTTTATGGAAAAGAATATTCTATATGATTTTCAGTAAATGAAACAGCAGCTTCATTTTTTTCCATAGCTGAACTAGTCACATTAAACTGTGATTATGCAATGAGGAGAAGGGTAGGTACACACACTTACTTTCTTCATCAAGGAGACTTTCAGCAGCTGATAGTAACCTCATCCTGTCTTCTGGATTATTAATGTCTAATTCAATGAGATGACTCTCTTTTATCTCCTTTAAATCTTCCAGGGTCTCATAACCATTGAGCAGAAGGGTTGAGGTGTATTCCTGTGTAGGAGGGAAAAATACATATAATATAATAAGATCCTAATATTTTATTTTTAGCTTTCTTTAAATTTAAGGAAAGTAGACATATGGAAGTCAAAGGTAATGCTAGAACTTTAACTGAACATTATTTACTTGTACTGGGTCTCTACATGTGAAGCCTAGAATATTTAAAATAGTATGCTTCATAATTCTGATATTCTGAAAGCACAGATATAAAGAAAAAAATATTTACATTAACCTATACAGAGCTAAATCAGGGATCAATTAAATAAATGAGTCATTCATCCCATTTGGCACTTCATTTTTCTAATAACTAAATTGACAAAGCTAACATGCCCTAAGTGTATCAATAAAATGTCTCTAATAGAGTAATTATGGGAAAAAAGTTTTAGTATCTATATCTTATTTTGTTTTCTTTAATTGAAAAAGCACCTATTCTCTTTAATTTCTTTAGGTAGGTAAATATATATATATTTAACCTATATATTAACATAAATATATATATAAAAGTTATATTTCTAAGCAAAAAGTAGACAGCTATTTGGTTAAAATGCATCGTATAAGCTTAAGAAAGTTCAAATTTTCTATTTAATAAAGTTATTTTATTAAACATAAAAGCAGTGTGAGGAAAGTTTTCTTTCCTTTTTTCAGCATAATATTTTGTCCATCATTTGCATCAATTTATATGGTTTAAAATTCACAAGCTTCATATTTCAAAGTCAGTTATTTATGTAACCTTGTTCTCAAATAAAATATAAATGCAAAGTGAAGTTGAATGCCTTTCAACTTCTTCAAAAAATTCCATTGCACTTGGCCATAATGTCATATCCCTATTTTTGCGACTAAACTTCAGTCAGATGAAGTATCAAAGGTTTAAGCAATCATGATCAACTTCTTGCCAATCCTTTTAGGGAAAAAAAAACACAGAGAGAGAGAAAGAAGTAAGCTTAGTGTTCTTTTAAAGATAGTGCAAACTAGGAGAAACTGAATTAGAAGAGAGTAAACCAAATCTTCCAACCTGATATAAGCATCTAACTATGCATTCTACAGTAAGCTATTTCACTTCCTTAGACCTTGGTTTTCTCACAGGTATGGAAGAAACAAGTGACGAAGAGATTCAAAGTTCCATTTAGGACAACTCCATTTAAAGCAATACAGGAAGACCTCAATAGTGTGTTTACAGACAGGAAGAACTCTAGAGAGTTCATACAAATAATTAATGAAAGTCTAACTATTATCCTGATATATTTCAAAATTATCTAAGTACTGTCATGTCAACTTGAGTAATAGAATCCAAAACCATAAATTAAGTGAAGTCACACATTTACATATATTTATATACATATTTCTATAAAACAGGTATTTCCTTCAATTTTGTTAATATAACAAGAAAACTGTTGGATTATTAAATATAAACTATACAATCTATATGACACAATGATTATAATCCAATTATTATGGGTGCTTAATGGTTTTATGAGCCTCATTTCTTCAAAAGTTACTTTAAAAACTATTAAATTTAATTGTCTTCTTTAATCTGGTTTAAATACTTGCTCTCTAAAAAATACAATTTCCTTTTGTTTTCCTTTCAATTAGTTCCCTGAGGGTTTTGATTTGTTTTGTTTTGTTTCATTTTTTATTTTTAATCTTCACTCTCTCTTATTCATTCTTATTTATATACTTTACCATGTCATCTCCCAGGTAGTTTTCATTTTTTCACTGTACTTTCTCAAGATTAATCTCTATTGTCATTGCTGATTGCCATTAAAAAGGTCAAGGGATATTAGAGCAACAAAGGTCCTTGCATAATGAAAGTAATGAAGAGGAAGTAAAAACTATACTTGGAAGTCAAATATTCCTTCTGTGTAGATTGTGTAATTTTAAACACCGTTACAGACAGATTCTGGCCCACTCTTCTCTGTTATCCATCAAATGCCACCAAAATCAAACTAGCCACAGGCTCACTAACCTGAAGTTGAATCATCTCTAAGAACTCCTGCAGACTCTTGTGCTTTTCGATGCCACTCCTTCGGTGTGCCTTTGTTTTCCTGGGGGCCACTTCTTCATCTGAGATGACATCCACATAGATAAACTTGAAGTTTCCCACCTTATTATTCAACATTCCTGTCCAAATCCCCATTGGTGTTTTGCAGATAATGTCTATGATGTCTCCTTTCTAAGAACAAAGACATAAACTATTAAAAAGATGGGGAGAGAGAGAGAAGAAACAACAGACCCACATGTAGGGCCCCCACCAAGATTTAATATCCAACTTATTTGTATTTTTAGTGTCTCTTCAAAGAAAAGAAGTTTAAACCAATAAAGTAGGTGTTTTTTGCTTGTACTAGTGAGGTACTATGAATGATAAGAACCTCTGCTTTTCCCTTAGGGAAGGTAGCTTGGCTGAAATAATTTTGTCTTTTCTTTTGGTAATAACTTTGTCTAACCCTCTTTTTGACTATAAAACCTTTCCCATATTGTACAAGCCCCCTGTAGAGAGAGCCTTTTTACTTGGCAGATGGGAGGCTGTCTGATTCGTGGATCATTTAATAAAGCCAATTAGATCTCTATTCTAATGAAATGTGTTCTTTTTTAACAGCATAAATCAAATTTTAGAATTCTTGTGCGACATAATTGGCAAGAAAAATGAAGTAATAACCATTATAATAATGAGAAATTATGGTAAAGGGGCTCATAGATAAGAAATCTAAGAGGAATTTTCATATAAAAGTTTAAAGAAACTACTAGCTGTGTTAAAGAATGCTTCAACAGGTTTAAAGAAAAGCTCCTATATGCATTTGGTGATATGTCTATAGTTTTTTTTTTGTCATCTATTAACTTCTACTTGTAGATTACAATATGATTTACAAAATATTTTTGTACACACTGGCTGGAGCGATAGCACAGTGGTAGGGCATTTGCCTTGCATGCAGCCAGCCCGGCCAAGCTGGGTTAAATTCCTCTGCCCCTCTTGCAGAGCCCGGCAAGCTACCGAGAGTATCTCGCCCGCACAGCAAAGCCTGTCAAGCTACCCGTAATGTATTCAATATGCCAAACACAGTAACAACAAGCCTCAAAATGGAGACATTATTGGGCCCGCTGGAGCAAAATCGATGAACAACGGGAAAACAGAGACAGACAGAGTATGTACTCCCATAACACATCTCTTAGGTACATGAATGGATGTCCTTGTTACTCTAAATGTTATAGGAAAGGGAACAAAAGCAGCAGAAAACTTCTCAAGATTTATATAAAGCTAATTGTAGGATGAGAATTCAAGCTAAATTGTCTGATCTTTAAAAGTATGTTCTTTTCATTAGCCTGTCAAAGCAACATGCAAGTAGCAAAGTCCAAGTAACCTATCATCCCTGGGGGGCTCCCCAATTAAGGAAGGGGAGGACAACGGTGTTTGTGATTCTATTTCTACTCCTACGTCATTTGAAATTTTTTTTGCTTATTTTTTTTTGGGGGGGGGGTCACACCTGGCAATGCACAGGGGTTATTCCTGGCTTTGCACTCAGGAATTACTCCTGGCGATGCTCAGGGAACCATATGGGATGCTGGGAATCAAACCCAGGTTGACTGTGTGCAAGGCAAAAGCCCTACCCGCTATACTACCACTCCAGTCCCTTAGTTTGAAAAATTTATGTTACAAAATAAATCCATGTAGGTATTGCATCCATCCAAAATTATGAAAATATTCAGAATTATATAGATATATACATGAATGCATGTATATAGACATGTGTACACTAAGGATAAATTATCTTGTATTTTTCTAGAAAAATTTAAATTAAAAAATTTAAATTGAAGTATAAATCATAGCGGTAAATATATATCTATCTATATAGAGATAGATATAGATATATAGATATACTTCTCAGAGAGCCTGGCAAGCTGAGAGTATCCTGCCTGCAAGGCGGAACCTGGCAAGCTACCGTTGGCATATTCAATATGCCAAAAAACAGTAACAACAACGAGTCTTATTTTCCTGACCCTGAAAGGGCCTCCAATACATCAGTATTGGGAAAGACAAGTAAGGATAGGCTTGGATGATGGAGACATTAATGGTGCCCGTTCGAGTAAATCGATGAATAATGGGATCACAGTGATACAGTGAAACAGTGATATTAAAGTATGGAATATGAAATAAGACACTATGGGATAGACAAACCAGCTGACCTTTTTTCTTTATTCACATTGAGGACTTTAGTTGACTAGAGAATGACACTTACTGGGAAGGGTAGAAAATCTCTTAGGGGTATTTATTTTATATAGAAAAATTATTTTCATGAATTATGTTTTCTATGTTTAAGTCATAGTTAACATTTTTGAAGTAGTACAGATAACTTTCTTCTACAGAGAGGACAATATAGATTCAATTATTTAGGCAATTTTTATGAATCTACACTCAAAATGTGAAGCCTGCCACTAAGAATATTTTTTCATACTGCTCTGTGAATATGTATTCTTTACCCAAATTGGCAACTGTTTATAAAAATAGAATTAATATGATTTAAATATCTAGTCTTTTCAATTTGTGATCATCTGTTATTCTGGCCCTATGAATTATTTATGCAGTTCCACTTGCCTTTAACAAATCCTAGGCTATATTGGATCAACTATGCAGACTTGAAAATCCCTGAAAGCTCCAAGGAAAATTTTAAGCATGACAGTTCTTTGCCATATTCTTCCTATTATCCTTTAAACTTACAAAACATATGCATTCTTAGAAAGCCCACAGGCCACTAAGTGGAGATCCAGTTTCACTTTTGGATCCTTTTGGATAAGACCCTTGATGGAAACAATAGTATTCAATCCTCAGTGGTAACTGTGGGATTTTATTGTCTCCTACAATAGCTTCACAAACATTATCTCTGCAGCACCTGAAGTGGTGCATTGGTATCTGTTAGGAAAGGTTAAAATCCTCAGTGAAAATGTGTCCAGTTTATCTCCTCCTACTCCCCTCACCTAAAAGTTAGCAGTCTATAGCTTCCTTTTCCTAAAGACAGATTTTAATTTATTTCATTGAAATGACTAAGGAGCCAGTTGTGGGTAGCAATAGTTTCCTCGTTATTCAGTTGAGTTTATTTATCTAATTTGATAACAGTAAAGGAAAAGAAAAGGCCTGGATGCTCTAAATATTAAATAACAGTACTAATGCTCCATAACTTGCAATAATTATTGTTTAACTCTGGTTGGTGTTGACAGCATAAAAATTTATGATTTTAGTTCCTTCAGCTAGCATGTATGTGACACGAAAAGAAATCATTTGACATCTATAAGATATTTTAGCACCACAACTTCATTCATTTGCACGATTCTAAGTAATCGTCCCCTTGAGTGTCAGTGGGACTGTGAAAATGAGGCATGATTATTTTGCTATATGACAGAAAGTCTGTGCAGATAAAATTAATCTCTCAAATTCATTTTGTAAGAAAAGGAAAATTATCTTGATCTTTCTGAATTAATCAGACAGATTTTCTTGTAAATAAAGATATGTGATGGTATAGAGGTTATGGAACTTGCCCTGCATGTGGCTGGCCCTGGTTAGAGTCCCTGGCATCACATATGATCCTCCAAACACTGTGAGGGGTCATTTTTGAGCAGAAAGCTAGGAAGAGCCCTTAAGTACTACCCAGCATGTCCTTCGCCTCCTTTTTTTCACCAAGAGATTTGAAGTGCATGAGTGACCATTCTTCCCGCAGGCCTTGAGGAAACTACAATGTTGTATTCTAGGTTAGGATCCTCAAGAAGCTGAGAAAGACCCCCTCAGTTGACTTTCTGCAAGAAATTGGGCCTTAGAGCCCTGCAACTAGAAGGAAAGGAATTCTGTCAGCAGCCAGAGAGCCTGAGAGAAGATCCTTTGATGCCATCACAACCTCTGACCCCTTGACTCTAGACCAATGAGAATTTAAGTAAAGACCCCAGCCCAGCTACCCATGACAAATCATACAGAATGTAGGTATATTACTCTGTACCTTGATTTTAAGGGAATCAGTGTCATAAGGGCTTGGCGTGAAGTCAGTATGCACCCTGGCCCGGCCATGGAATGGTCCAGAGTAGAGGCCATTGTCGTCAAGTCGAAAGCTGTCTCTGTTACTTGTCCCATCTGAACAGCTTGTGATTCCACCTGATGAAGGGATAACAGGGAGTACCAGTTTTTATCAAAGGCTTATCACATTCTGAACCACTGTGTAGATACAACATAGCAGTGGGAATACCGAAACAATAGGGTGACAGTCTCCATATAGGCTTTCAAGTGACAGACCCCTGATCCTGCCTGCTAGTCACGCTTCATCAGCAACTAATGCCCTCTGAGCCACTTTTGGTCTTTGCCCAGTCATTCTGACTATCCTCAACCAACAACCCAAACACTCTCCATGACTGAGTCCAGACAGTCTTTGGAGCATTGGACACTTGTTAAAGAGGCAGATAATATGTAGACTTAACACCCCCCACTCCCTAGATAATTAATGAGCTAGGTAGTAGAGACTTATTGTCTACCCCACATGCTAGTCAATTTTGTATATCTAAACAAAGGCAGGAACTGATAACAGCAGCTTGATCTGTGTGTACTGTTGATCATAGAATCCCATGGTTCCTTGAAGCTAATCAAAAAATAGCAAACTGCTCCCAGACTGCTGACTCTCAAGAAAAAGCCATCTGAAGGCAGGGAAGGCAGTACTTTTGCTTAAGAGAGTGTGAGGGAAGGAGACAGTATATTTCAATGTCTGAGCTTCCAATTGGTTTTAAAAGTTCAAAGCTGATCATTTAAAACTCCAAATTCTTGTCCTCTCTTCCTCCCCTTTCTCATATTGAATTTCAGGGGGAAATGAGAAAGAGTATCCCCTTTCTTTCTTTCTTTCTTTCTTTCTTTCTTTCTTTCTTTCTTTCTTTCTTTCTTTCTTTGCTGTCTGGCTGAGGACAGTGGCTTCCAATGAAGATAACTATTTCTTGACACTTTCTTTCATTTAAATCACTTTCCTTCATTGTAGCATTTTTGTGCTCTATAATGAGAAAACAGCCCTGGTTTTGCTAACATTTATGCAAATGATTATGGAGAGATATGAAAATTCTTACTCTATGTTGTATATGAACTGGTGTTAAAAGGGGAGGGAGAGGAGGAAGTTATCTCTAATTACAGAAATTAAGTTTTATGTGGTAACATTTGAATGGACCATCTCCTCTAACCCTCCCTTCTTGTGACCACTCAAGATTTTCATGGCTTCTAGTCAATATCATATTTGACCATATTTAGCATTGCAGTTTGAAATGTGTAAACTTACAGCAGAAATGAATATAAGTGAAATCTGAATTTCACACATGTAAAAATATATCCCTCAAATGTTTCTGCATTAGCTTTTTCCCCCCTCATGAAATAATTTTTAAATGTATGGGAAAATAGTTTAAAATTCAGAATAATTAAAACATCTGGTCTTTGCACTGCATCTTCAAATAATAGAAGCAGTTGATTTAAAAGGAAATGGAAAGCAAACTCTGAAAAGATTAGATGAGTGTATCAGTATACATGCAAAATATAATAAAATGTATAAGGCATTCTCCACTATCAGTAATTTTCATACAACTAGTGTAGAAAAATCTATGACTAAATTCTGAGCAATTTCCTTCTTAGAAAAATACCAGTTGAACATGTGCTGATTTCTTTTTGTACCTAAATAGAGATTTTCTTTTGATTTCATATTTGTTTATTTATTCTTTACTCAATAATGCTGCATGGAGATACAAAAAGTATATGCTAGAACTTAAGCAAAGATCTTACTCTTTTTGAGATATCAAGGATAAAAGGAAAGAAAAGGAAGAAAAGGAAAGAAAGAAAGAGAAGGGGAGGGCAGGAAGGTAGAAGGTAGAGACAAAAAGGAAGGAATAAGGGAAGGAGATAAAAAGACCCAGGCTTTATTTGAACACACTGAGCATTTTTTAAAATGTGCATCAGATAATAATGATTCTCTTCAACGTACACTTTTATTTTTGGTTTAATCACCTACCTCAATCTTTTTGAGGCATATCCCAAGAGTCCTGCTGATTACAGTGGGATGGTTCAACAAAAATCATAATTTCACCAGTATATTATTTATCATTTCAAACAATCGCAACTGGATGGTTTTAACACATCCTACATTTTTGTTATGTCTCTTATCAGGTAACTAATTGCTGCTAATTTGACACTTGTTGCTAATTTGAGAAACAAAACCCAGAGAAGCAAATTTGTTGCTTTTAAGAAACGTAACCATGGAACTCTCATTTATGAACTTGCCCTTATTTTATAATCTTACTTGATGAGCTATGTCCACTGTAGATACTGTCCATGGAGTCGCTGGCTTCAAGGGAAATTTTTTCCATGCGAGTCCCAATCATGGGGTCACTATTCCGACAAGGCAGGGTATCCTCTTCATCTTCCTCATCCTTCAGTAAACATACCAAAGGTTAGTGCAGAGAACAGATTTTCATGGAGATGTTCACTGTGTGCCTTGATTTAACAAGCAAGATGTACCTTAACAATAACATACTTAGGAACACATCAACATAAAATCTGAGAGTCACTGATCTTTAGTTTGGTTCTCACTGAACATTTTGTAGGGTACTCCAAAAAGTTCTTTAGCTGAAATATTTCCCACATTATGAAATTAAATAAACAGCAATAATCCTTTTTATTTTAAAATTAGGATGATAACAGCAAGACTCTCTAATGAGAAATTTCAGATTTATTGACATATGTGCTTTATCTATTAAAGCACTTTTGTTTCTTTGTGTTCTTTTTTATCATTTATTTACCACCATTACTAATCCTCCGAGATCTGATATTACAAGTATAAACTCTGTATAGTTGTTTCACGTCAGTTATTTGCACCCTACCAGATCACTAGATATGAATAAAACATGCACACTTTGCAATTCTAAAGCAAAGCTTATCTAAGAAGCTTTACAAATTTCATACTGTGCTTGCCACCTAGTCAAGTGAAAAGCAAATCTTGCATAAAATTAGGAAAGACAGACAATTTCAAAACAAATTACATCTGCTTGAAAACATCTCAAATGTTTTCCATATTTAGACTGTTTGGACAAAATTTATGAATTTCTTAATATTCCTCAAAGTGTAATTGAAAGTTTCTCATTTTTTCAGATATTTAAATGTTGATAAAACTTTAGATATGCATGGCATATAATCATATTTATCTTTTGCTTTTATCCATTTCTTTGTTCACTCATTCGGTCATTCATTATAAGTTTATAGAAGAATATTTTAGCAAATTGGCACTGCTTTGAGAACTGGGGGATATCATGGTAAAGGCAGTAGGAATTCTGTAATGAAATTAACTAAATTTCACTAAATTTATGTCTACATATATATGTCTGTGATATTGGAGAGGTTTACATAAACAAAATGAAAAATGCAATTCAGAAAGTAAGTGCTACGAAGGAAGTAAAACTGACTGATGTGGGAGATTTAACAATTTGGATTCAAGTTGTGGGAAGGTAGCCGATTGAGAAGGACTAAATTCCAAAAATCTCTTCCATAAGAAACTCATGCTTTGTATATCAGTGCGGGGTAAAAAGAAGACATAACACATAAAAGATTTAGAGACAGTTTTCAAAATAGATGTAATAGCAGTGTAACTGAACTCAGAATGAACTTGGGTTGTACAGTGGAAAGCAACCAAGCCATGAAGGTAAAATTAAGAGTGAGGGTAACAAGAGTGTTTGAGCTGCCATGTTCTCATGGGAGCCATGCACCCTGCCTATGACCAAAACAGAGAGAAAATATATAAATATTCTAGTTTGATGTGTGGTTGAAATCTTTGGTTCAAGTATTCATCAATATGATCAAAGTTTTCTTAGAACAGTATTGAAGTCTGAGACTCTCATTGATCTTTCCTTATTTTACAGATGTCAGGTTGACATTACACTCTGAAGTCTTTTCGTTACTATTTCTTTTTTTCCTTTTTAATCTTTGACAGGAATATTCTACACAATAAAATTTATTGTGTCTATTCCTTTCTGGGATTTCCTGCCCATAGGTGTAGAGTAAATACACCATAGTAAGAAATGTATTGTGATGACATTGTGAAATTTTAATCAGAGAAATGAAAATTCTCAATTCAACTGCTGAAAGAACTTTCTAGCTTTGATGTGTAGGATGTATTTTATGGGAACAGAGGAAGAAAGAAAACTAATTAGGTGGATATTATGGTAATCCAGGCAAGTGAGTTTGTTACTTGATCCAAAGTAGAACTAGTTTACATGGAAAAAAGTAGATATTTTAGGATAATTTAATTTTAGAATCAAGAGAATGTTCTGAAGAACTGGTATGAAAATTAAGAGAAAGAAAGAATGTCAATTTATTAACTTCCCTTCTACCAACCCCCACGAACACTCTCTTACTTTCTAACCTAATATTGTGGTAGTTCTTGCCTGTTAGCATCGGAAAGACTGAGCTCGAAACTATTTTTCAAGATTAGAGCTCAAAGAATCAATAATTATGTTTTGGATATGCTAGGTTGTGGATATCTATGTCAATGATAATACAAATAAGCAATCAATTGTATAAATATAATAGATTTTAAATAGAGATTTGACTTTGAAAACAATGTTAAGAGGTTGAATATGTCAATTAGAAGGAGAAAAGACACTGAAAGTGCTCACAAAAAAGTCTCAGGAGTATTCAGTAGTTAGAGAGATAAGAAATAAAGCAGAATTAAGTGCCAGGAAGATAGTTTAATGGGCTAATTGCATGAGAGTGTGCTCTGCATGCAGGAGGTACAGGTTCAATCCCTGGCACTCTATGTTGCACTGAGCTCTACTGAAAGTGACCGCTGAGCACATATCTGGGAGTAATCTCTAAACACTACTGGGTATTCCCCACCCCCAAACAAAATTAAACATAAAATGAACAACAGAGAGAGAGAGATACTGAGTGAAAGAGAGACAATAAATAAAGCAAAGTCAAAAAAGAAATCCAGAACAACTTCCAAGGAAATCAAGAAAGACTCATATATTTAAGTTGTCTTAAATAGAAAAGTAATATAAGAAAGCAGAGTGATCACTGGATTTTACAACATGGAAACAACTACTGGTTGTGCCAAAGTTTTTGGATTTATTGGGGGAAAGAGTTCTGTTAATGTAGGTTAAAAAGAGAATGGACATAAGACATATAAACTAGGGAAGGTTATGGACTAGAGAAATAGCAGAGGATAAGGTGTTTTCCTTAAACATGGAAGACCTTGGTTTGATACTTGAAACCCCACATATAGTTGTCACACGGCATCAAGAGTGATGCTTGAGAAGTGTCAGGAGTAGGCAATAAGTAATGCTGAGTGTGACTCCAAAAGCAAACTATTTTTTAAAAAAAAAGACACATGCCGCTCAATAGAATAATAAAATTGAGAGCCCAGATATCAACTTATGATCCTTATATCTATGATCAGTTGAGAGTTAGAAGAGTAGCAAGACAATAGGGGATAGAGCAGTCTTTTTAGCACGCAATATCGATATCTGGATATCTACATGAAAAAAAATTGAATCTGAACTACAACATATTATATAGAAAAAGTAATGAGTCATATACCCAAGTTCAAGAGATACATCTGCAAAACTCTTTGAAGAAACTTACTAAGCAGAAGTTTCTACACATAAAAAATGTGAAATTAAAACAAAATATAAATTGAACTACATCATTTTAGTTGCAACCATTAAAAAGTGAAACTATAATACATATATTGGGAGATAATATATATGTTGTATATTACCAGACCAGGTACTTGGGCCAAGAGTATATTCTAACATGCTTATAATTCAACAACAAAAAGACAATCAAATTAAAATACAGGTAAGACATTGGCATAAACATTTATCTATAGAGGGTATTAACTGACTAATAAATACATGAGAGAATTATCAACATTATTAGTGATTACATAATTGTAAATCAAAATCACATTGAGCTTCTTATTCACCCAAATGAAATGACTAACATCAAAAACATTACAAGTGTTGACAAAACTGAAGAATGTGAAACTCTACATTGCTAGTAGAAATGTAAAATGATGTAGTTGCAATAGAGTTTTCCAGTTTATTAGATAGTTATTATAAGTTCATAAAAAGAATTGCCTTATATAAAATCTTGCACCAAATTATTAATATAAGATTATATTTAACAGCCAAAATATGGAAGTAACCCAAATGTAAAAAGAATGAATAAAGGTAACTGACTGATTTCTTCAGAATATTACTTAACATTAAAAAGGAATGAAGTGGACTGATTAGATAATATAGTGGGTAGGGAGCTTGTCTTGCACTTTGATGACCTGGGTTCCATCCCCAGCATCCCATATAGTTCTCTTAGGATGGCCAGGAGGCATTCCTGAGTGCAGAGCCAGCTTTAATTCCTGACCATTGCCAGGTGTGGTCCCCAAACTAAAACTAAATAAATAAAGGAATGAAGTACTGATAATTTCTTTTAAAATATATATATATATATATATATATATGTGAGATGATCTTTCTAACTTCAGTTTTTTTTACTAAAATGTAATTCAATACTTTCACTCAGCTTCTAAGTACTATGACAGATGTTGAAGTACTTCATGAACTACAAAATACTACAGAGTTCAGGGGAATTTATGAAATATTTTAAAAATAATTTAACAGATACAACATTATACTTACCTTTTCCTCAGAAAGAGCTTTGATGTACTTTTTAGCCACTTTTTTCTTCATTGTCCAAGAGATATTTCTCATTTTTTTACCCAAACCTGCATTATTTGAACTTTTGTGTTGTTCTCCACTACTATTTATGAGTTCCTCTTCATGTACCTATTTAGAATTGTTCGAATTAAAAAAAAAGAAAAGAAAGATTTGATCTTAGACATTTTTGAGAGAATCCAAATTTGTGTTTTTCTTAACATTCAAGGAGACAGTCCCAAATTTCAAACAACATGGATGTAATACACAATTTTAAAGTTTTTCAGGACCAGTTACCTATGTTTCAAAACAGAAAGTAAAACTTGTGATTTTCAAAGGTTCGTGTTTTCACATCAGATTTTAAAAAGGGACTTTTGGCTATTTTTAATAGTGTATTAAAGAACAACGTTAGTTATTCCCAGTACTGAAATGAACAACACTGAACTAAATGTCAGGCATGAAATGTGGTTTTGTTTTGAAAGTCTGTAGCATCTATCAAGGTGGCAAGTGGTTAAAAATATCTTTTGCTTGTAGAAATTGAGATGGTGATTATTTTAAAGAAATTTTAGAGTTACTTAAATCTGAAAAACTGCCTTTTAAAATTTTTCAGATTTGGCACACCACTAATTTTCCATATTTTTAAGCGTGTAAATACAAAGAGTAAAATTTAATTACTTAATAGGATCAAATTCTCATGTAATATGTACACTCTTCTAATGAAATCTCTTATTTGGGCTATTTTCACCTTGTGCTGATTCATAATCTTTTTGACTTACTATCTATATGAAAACATCTCAAAATAAGACAAATTTATAGCCCAAAAAACTCTTTAACTGGACATAAAATGTGACAAAATATAACATGAATATTATATTATGTAAGTATATGAAATTAAATAGATATCATTTCTAACACTTCCCAGTTCTTCCTTGCTCTCTATAGCTGTGAGTCTTAAAATTGGTCCCCAAAACAGCAACTGTAGCATCTGTTGGGGTGAATTAGTATTTTTCAAAATTCTACTAATTCTGATATTGCTGAAGTATAAAAACTGTAATTAAGTATTGTCACTCTAGACTCTTTGTTGCTTCTCTATTGTGCTCAAAACAATCCTTCTAGATAACCCACCAATGTCTTTATTCAGCCAGGTGTCTACTTACATGCCAAGACATAAGTAACTCACATGGCAAGACATAAGTGAGAGATTTTTTTTCTGACTAATCACCCTATCTGATGTCTGTTTCATGAAACAGGATTTTTGTTTTTACTTTGAGTGCCTAAAATATTTGTAGAAACATCACTGCCTCCCATATTTTTGAATAAACAAATTTCATTTGGAACTTTTGAATGCTTTTTCTTTTGGACTATAGGTTTTAATCATACATCCCCAACGTCTCAAGATTAACAAGAAAGGACCCTTAAATGCTATCCCGTCAATCACTATTCACCATTGTTTGATTGGTGAAAAGCCAATTATTTCCTCAATATAAGGTAAAAAAAGGTAAAGGCCCTCCCGTTGATCGTCGATTTGCTCGAGCGGGCCCAGTAACGTCTCCATTGGAGACTTTGTTGTTACTGTGTCTGGCATATCGGTAGCTTGCCGGGCTCTCCGAGAGGGGCGGAGGAATCGAACTCGGGTCAGCCATGTTGGCTGTGTGCAAGGCAGACGCCCTACCCGCTGTGCTATCGCTCCAGCCCTTTGGTTAGAGCGTGGTGCTAATAACGCCAAGGTCGCGGGTTCGATCCCCGTACGGGCCAGCAGGTTCCTCAATATATAGATAAAAATATATAGGAAACATCTCTTTAGATAACTTGAATACTTTAATATGAAGGTTTAATTACATAGTTAACATCATTATTAATCAATATTATGTTTTGCTTCATATCTTAACCCAAATTGCCTATGATATATATGAACGGACAGCCAATTTAAGCCCTCATTGCACTTTATTAATTTCTACATTCAAGGTTATAAAGGCAAAGATTCTTTGCTCAATTCAAAAGCCTTACTAAATTATAACTTGGAGACACTTTCAATTTTTAGTTAGCCTTTTGCTTCTCTTTTCTTAATCAACTTTCTCTATCTTTATCATGAAGTACAAACTAAAATAAAGGTTATAGTAAACCTATGTTAATGGACAATTGCTTAGTCATAAAACAATCCAAAATATTTTTAATTTTAGATTTTGAAATATAATTACTTACATAATCTTGAAGAAAGTAATCTCTACATACTTTTTTAGGGAAGTGGGGAGATTGGGCCACACCTGCAATACTTAGGGTTTACTCCTTCAGAGTTTATACTCAGGGTTTCACTTCTTGCAGAGCTAGTATGGGGTGCTGGGGATCGAACCATAGTCAGTTGCTGTGCTATCTCTCTGGCCTCTCAATATACTTTAATTTTAGTATTTTCTGTGATGTTCTCTTTCATGGTCTGAAAACAACTATGTAGTAGGATGAAAGAACATATGTATTAAATACATATGTATATACATGCCAATGAAAATATTAAGTAATAGATGTTACTTTGTGTCTTTTTTTTTGCCTAGAATAAAGACCCTCCCGTTGATCGTCGATTTGCTCGAGCGGGCCCAGTAACGTCTCCATTGGAGACTTTGTTGTTACTGTGTCTGGCATATCGAATACTCTCGGTAGCTTGCCGGGCTCTCCGAGAGGGGCGGAGGAATCGAACTCGGGTCGGCCATGTTGGCCGCGTGTAAGGCGAACGCCCTACCCGCTGTGCTATCACTCCAGCCTAGAATATCAATGCTAAAATAAAACTATTTTATGGGCTGGAATGATAGTATAGTGGGTAGGGCATTTTCCTTGCACATAGCCAACCTGAGTTCAATCCCCGGCATCCCATATGGTCCCCCAAGCACCACCAGGAGTAATTGCTGAGCATAGAGCCAGGAGGAACCCCTAAGCATTGCTGGGTCTGACACCCCCAAAATAAAAACCAAAAAAAATTATTTTAAAACAGTAAATGCATATAGGAATCTTTAAAGTATTTTGAGAAATAAGATATGATAAAGTTATTTAAAAAATAAATAATAAAATATAGTTACCAGTATGTCTAATAAAATTAAATAAGATACAGTAACTAGATAGCCTGCAAGTTTGTCCAAACTTGCAGGCTATCGAATGTAGCCTGCCCACAGGGCAGAGTCTGGCAAACTCCCCGTGGCATACCAAATATGCCAAATACCAGTAACAATGATGGGTCTCATTCTCCTAAATAGCCTTGAATATAATCTCAGGGCCAGGATGAAAGAGACGTTACTGGGGCCTGCTCGAGGCAATCGACGAATAACAGGATGATGAAATGAAATGAAATGAAATGAAATGAAATGAACAGTAACTAGAATGTATAAGAAGAATTCCATAAAATTAAAAATCTATTTATATAATACATATGGAGTTACTGCATGGGTTTTAATAGTAAACATGTATACATGTATTTTTACTTTTCTCAATATGTATTCTTACATTCTACTATTTTACTAGTGTGTGTGTGTGTGTGTGTGTGTGTGTGCACGCTCTTGCACACAATCTGGGTTACACTTTGCTATGCTCAAGGTTTATTCCTGACTTTGTATGGAACAATCGCTCCTCATGGGACTCTGGAGACCATGTGTGGTGGTCATGTTCAAGTGGCTTACCTCCTTTACTGTCTCTCCAGGTCCATTTTATTATTTATCATCTTTCATTAATCAGGTATCCTAATTATTCCATGTTTTGTATAGATAATATAACAGGATGGCAATTTTGTTATATTATCTATACAAAACATGGACTAACTGGGATAGCTGATTAATAGTAGCTAGTAAATGACAGAGCCCGTGCAATAGTATAGTGGTTAGGGCACTTATATTCCATGAGGCTCACCCAGGTTTTATTCCCCCACACTTTTTATAGTCCTCTGAGCACCGCTGGGCATAATCCTTGATCAGAGTCAAAAGTTAGCACTTTTAGGTGTGCCCCCAAAGCAAACAAGTAAAACAAGTAATTACTGAGAAAAAAAAATTAGTGGTAAAATATAAATATGAATAGTTCATATATAACACAGGTAAAATATTTAGTACTATGATTAATTTGTGGGGCACTTTTTTTAAGTCATATTTAATGTAGTCATTGTTTTCCAATATGTATGCAATTATCAACAAATGAATATTTTCAGTGCTTATGGTGGCTTTTCACTTCTACTGGGTAAATATGATAAATTCACTTAATTTATTTGTAAATAAAATAATCATAACATCTTTAAGCGGGTAGGGCGTTTGCCTTGCACATGGACACCCTGGGTTCTGGGTTCAGTTCCTCTGTCCCTTTTGGAGAGCCCGGCAAGCTACCGAGAGTATCTTGCCCACGCGGCAGAGCCTGGGCAAGCTCCCCTGTGGCATATTTGATATGCCAAAAACAGTAACAACAAATCTCACAATGGAGACTGCACTGGTGCCTGTTCCAGCTAATCAATGAACAACAGGAAGACAGTTCTACAGGACAGTGCTGTTCCTCACTTCAGAAATGCACTGAATTTGGGAGTCAAAAATTTGGGGATTCTTAAATTCATATGCTTCATCCTCAAACATTTTCTGTGTCATTTTCAGTGCATTGTTCAGTGGATCATTAAATGTGGGGGATTGGACGGGAGCCTTCTACATGCGTGCACACTAGCCCTTTGGTCTACTTTGTAGCCCACCTGCTGTACTTCTTGAGACCTTTTTACTCTTAATATGGAGCATGGTACTAGGTACTAAGCATTTGTTTGCTCATTTATCAAAAATATATATGCAAGACAATGCTTTAAAACATCTGTTTTTCTTGCTGTACTTTGCAAAAGTGACATTGGTTTTGTAATTTTTCCATAATGTATTTATAGAGTACTCAAAAAGTGAAATAAAACACTAACCTCAGTTGAATTATCTGATTTTGAGATGGAATTTTTCCGAAAACGATCAAAATTCCCAAAACTACTGCTGCGCTATAAAATAAGAAAGGGAAAGGGAATTTAGCATTTGTGATTTTCACTATAAAATCATTAAAATATTAAGTTATAATTCAATAAGCATCAGTCTATTGCTAATACAATATTGAAAGTTTACTGTACCTGGAATACATAAGAAACTGATAAATTATTATTAATTCGTACAGTAGAGAGGTAGTATGTCTTCATATGCTTTGTGCTATTATGTCAATCACCTTGAGAAAATCAGTTGAATTATTTTATGTTTATAGTATTGCTTTTGAGCTTGGGAATAAATTTACTTCTATGCTGAAATGGCATATATTATTAATAAACAACCAATAAGTAAATAACAATACCACTTACACACACTCACACACACACAAATTAAGTATCGTAGTAGATGAACCATTTATATCATAAATATAATATTTCTATAAAAACATGAACACAAATTCATTTCCCATAAGTCTTATAATTTGAAACTATTAACACTTATAGCATGAAAATCAGAGAGATGTATTAATTTATTGAAAGAAACACAGTCTAAGCTTGGGAATAAAACTGAAATTTTCTATATATAGAGCTACTATAGAAATACAATGAGACTGCTGGGTCAGTTCATCTAGTGTTTTGAAAATAAAAGCTCAATGTTAAGAGATTTGTTTCCTTGGATATGTATTGCATACTACATTAAAATTTATTCTCATGAAACATGTTCAAGTCAGGTAAAAAGTTCCTGATGTGCTACATAGTAAATGATTCTCCTAAACGTGTTCCCAAAAAAATATCTGGAGTTTTGGATTAAAAAAAAATTGGTATCGCCTCACTTTTTTGTATTGAATGGGATGGCAAATGGTTGACATTTGGTTCTCTATATATCTATAAACTGTCAGCATATCTTCTGCCACAAGAACTCTTATCTTAAGCTTACACAATTTTAAAAATAATATTGAAGCAGGCAGGTAGATGGGGAAGGGCTTTCTATGGGAGTGGGTGCTTGGGAAGTAATAAAAACCAACTAGCCCTAAGGCTGTCAGGACCTACCCTGTGGACACAGAAACTAGGACCTGATAAGACCTTTACTTGGCACCAGCACAGACCCAGAGAAGCATCAGCACAGACCCTTGTGAGAGAAATTCCAGGGGTGGAGATAAAAAGGATAAAAAGGTCAGGAAAGGAATTTTAAAGAAGACCATCAAATAGTCCCAACTCTACCCCTTGGCAACCCCTAGCAATGGACTCTTACTTAGACAGCCCCATGTGGGGGCACATTGGGTGAAATCCTATAAAAGCCACCTCGAACAAAGGTTGTGCACACATTATGCAGCCTGGGCCCATGTTCAACCTGTGCCCATGTGTTGTTCCAAGTAAATGCAGTGCCCAAGCACATAGCAGCTCTTGAGCTGTGTACTTAGGTGCTTTCATATCTTATGCGGGGATGTGTTGTAGGGCTCCCTTTCCACTCCGGAGAAGCCTGTGTTCTCTTGAGTGTTTTATTCTCTCTCTCTCTCTCTCTCTCTCTCTCTCTCCCCCCCCCGCCCCCCGCCATTGCCCAAAATTTCCAAAAAAAAAAAACCCTGTTTTTTCTTCACTGCTTGACTCCTCCCAAAATTCTTTTCTTTTTTTTTTTATTTATTTTTTTCCCTTTATTTTATTTTATTTTTTTTAAAGTTGTAGATTTACAATTTTTTGTGCTTTGGTTTCAATTATACAATGATCAGATACCCATCCCTCCACCAGTGCCCATTTTCCACCACCATGGATAATATCCCTCCCACCCCCATCCCCCCATCCCCCCTGTCTCTGTGGCAGGGCAATCCCCCGTGTTCTCTCTCTCCTTTTGGGTGTTGTGGTCTGCAAAAGAGGCATTGAGTGGCAAACATGTTCAGTCCATAGTCTACTTTCGACATGCATCTCCCCTCCTGGGAGGATCCTCCAAACATCCTTTATTTGGTGCTCCCTTCTCTATCTGAACAGCCCTTTCCTCTAGGATACCCGGCTGGCCTCTAAGTTATGGAGTAATCCTCCTGGTGCTGATCTCAGCTATTCTTGGGTATCAATCTCATACTTTGTTACTTTATATCCCCCAGATGAATGCAATCTTTCTATGTCTATCCCTCTCTTTCTGACTCATTTCGCTTAGCATGATACTTTCCATATTGTACCACTTGTATGTAAATTTCATGACTTCATCTTTTCTAAGAGCTACATAGTACTCCATTGTGTAGATGTACCAAAGTTTCTTTAACCAGTCATCTGTTCTTGGGCATTCAGGTTTCTTCCAGTTTCTGGCTATTGTAAAGAGTGCTGCAATGAACAAACAAGTGCAGATGTCACTTCGACTATACATTTTTGCCTCTCTGGGATATATTCCCAGGAGTGGTATTGCTGGGTCAAATGGGAGCTCAATTTCTAATTTTTTGAGAATCGTCCATACTGTTTTCCAGAAGGGCTGAACCAGTGGACATTCCCACCAACAGTGAAGGAGTGTCCCTTTCTCGCCACATCCACGCCAGCATCGGTTGCTTTTGTTCTTTTGAATGTGGGCCAGTCTCTGAGGTGTGAGATGGTATCTCATTGTGGTTTTGATCTGCATCTCCCTGATGATTAATGATGTAGAGCATTTAGAACTGCAGACCAATGGAACAGGGTTGAATACACTGACATCTCTCCTCAATCATATGCTCATCTAATCTTTGATAAAGGTGCAAGTAATGTGAAGTGGAGTAAGGAAAGCCTCTTTAATAAATTGTGTTGGCATCACTGGACGGCTACATGCAAAAAAATAGGCTCAGAACTCTGCCTAACACCATGTACAAAAGTAAGATCAAAATGGATTAAAGACCTCAACATCAGACCAGAAACCATAAGGTACATTGAAGATAAAGTTGGCAAAACCCTCCATGACATTGAAGCTAATGGTATCTTCAAAGATACCACGCCACTGGCCGAGCAAGTGAAAACAGAGATAGATAAATGGGACTATCTTAAACTAAGAAGCTTCTGCACCTCCAAAGAAACAGTGACCAAAATACAAAGACAGTCTACAGAATGGGAAAGGATATTCACCGAATACACATCTGACAAGGGGTTGATATCCAGGATATACAAAATACTGGTTAAACTCCACAAGAAGAAAACATCCAACCCCATCCAAAAATGGGGCAATGAAATGAACAGAAACTTTCTCAAAGAAGAAATCCGAATGCCAAAATTCTTTTCTGTGAGGGAAAACCAGGAACCTGAAAGGTCTGGGGAAGGCCTAGGACTGACTTTCCTGTAAGGAGCAACACTCCTAACAGACTATCAGTCCGAGATTTTCCCAGCTGTTCTCCTGCTGGCAGAGGTGGATGGAGAAAAAGCGGGTCTCCTCCTGACTTTATATAAATCACCTGGGACCCCACTGGCATCAAGATAATGGTACCAAAAAGTGATGTAATAATTTGTAAAAAACAATAACTGGAATCAGTCATCTATAAAACCTTGCATGGTTCTTTCAAAAAAATCACAACTTAAGTTTAAATCAGCTTCAAAGAGTATTAGTCCTGACATACACTCCAACTCATGTCTCCCCACCAGCTATCTTTAAAACTCCTTGTTTCCCTTTTAAATGAACTGAAATAAAAAGATCCTGACATGTGACAAGGGGTGAGCTTGACAGACAGTGCGAATATCGCCCTAAGGATGATGGCTGTGTTAGACACAATTAACGCCTTTTGCTGACTTGCCACCCTTGCTGAACAAGTCCTTCAGCTTGTGGTGAGAGGGGAGAAAGAGAAGGACTGAGATTGAGAACTAGGCTGGCAAATACAAAGGCTCCTCATGCAGGGCTGACTAACCCAGAATGACTTCCCAGAGCATTAATCAGTTCAACTTGCCTCGCAGGCATTTCTATCAGGACATCATTGCCCAGGGATCACAAAAGGAAATTGAGTGCATTGTTGCCCTGTTTATAAACAACCTCAACATAGGGAATCTGTTACTCTTTTATATACTTGAAACTTCCTTATGTCTTAATTGGAACCTATGCCTAGAGCAATGTTGTAGTCTACATTCAGTCTGCCTATTAAATATTAATGAGAGTTCTAGCATGATCCCCACCACTGGATAATGGGTCATGCTGCCCAGGAGGGCAGAGAATAGGCTCACTTCAGCATTTCTCTACACTATCTTCTGCCATTAAGTAATCAATAGTCACCACCTTTTAAAATTAATTCTTCCCTAATTATATCAATAAAGGAAAGCAGATTTCGGAGCAGTGGTTTAAGAAGGCTTAAGGACTACACATTGGGTTTTGTCAGTCATCTCATTACAAATCACTCAACAGCATTAAGCCATGATAGTAGTAATATCCATCCACGCTAAGATACCCTTAAGAAGCGAATCAAAGTATTTAAAAGAACATTTGTGAAATTTCATTATTCTCCAGTTTAAAAGTTAGTGACTTTCTGTGATGGTATCATAAAATAGGTTATAGCAAATGATGAAAAAGAGCTAAAGTCTACTATGAGGTATGGGCAAATGAGCTCATTTATAATTTCTGTTCCTGTTCAGTTTCTAATGGAAACAAGTCCTTTATAAATGCATGTGTGTTTCAATATTGATCATTTCATATTGTACAATCATTTGGATTCAATTTAGCCAATCGTATGCTGCAATCAAAGCTCTCTAGAGGTGGGGTTTTTGACTTGTGTGAGATTTTTTGTTTGTTTTTGCAATAATGTGCACGGAACCCAGGGCTTCTTACATACACAAAGCAAGCATTTTATCATTGAGCATTGAGCAACATCATGGGTTGAGAGGGTGTTTTTTTTTTTTCTTGGAGGGGAAATGGCACCAACACTGGTGGTAGGTATGGTTGAGTATTGCACACACACGGAAGTGAGAAGCTACACACATAGAGAAGAGCAAAGCTAACCCACTGAAATGATGAAATATTGTAAACCAGTAATAAGTTCATGTAAAACACCACTGTTATAGAAACAAATAGTTATAACTAGGAGGAATAATACTTA